CAATTCACATTTATCTTTTTTGACTCATAGATCGACATGTTCTTTTCATCTAGCACATATTTGAGTAGCCTGGCAAGCAAGGCAGATTGTCCCTGACCTGTGCAGGCTGTTTCAAGCTCTGACAGATGACAGAATCAGGGATAGAGTTTTCCAGAGCTTTCCTGGCAATAGTGAGTGGGAACCTTCAGAAGCATGTCCACAGGTGTGAACAGAAACTCCTTGGTTTGCATGCCCCTTTTGGATTCTTTGGTGGTGCAGCTGGGCTGCGCTCTTCTAAAGCACTCTTTACAAAGTTCTGGAGGATCCAGGTTGTCATCAACAAGTGCCTGAGGAAGTCCCTCAGGATCAGATGGACAGACAGAGTCACCAATGAGGAAGTAATGAGCAGAACATTTTCATACTGAAGAAAGCAGTGAAGATAGATTGGACTGAGCATACCATTAGGAAATCAGGCAGCTACATAAAAAAAAAAAAGTTTGAACTTGGAGTCAACAGCTTAAACGATCAAGGGAAGGCCATGTGGAACCTGTAGAAAAGTCGAGGAGAATGATGAACAGAAAATTAGAAAGACATTTGAAAAATATTATGAAGAAGTTAGCCCAGGGTAGGGAATAATGGAACGTCTTTGTCCGTACGGGGTGAGCCAGGCGATGATGAAACTGGCATGGGCTCTTCTAGAGCGATTTTCGGTGAGCCCGGTCATAGATATCAACATCCTGCAAACTTTGATCTTCTGGTCATTCTGTTTCAGATATTAAACCCAAGTGTGCATCTTTCAGCTTGGTGTATCGCCTTTGCTTAAATTGTATTCTTTCGTGTTGAGAATACCGTTTACATAGGACTTTCTGTCTTCCCGTGTCAAAGTCCGAGCAAAGACAAAGAGAGTTGTTCAGCTAGTTGTTCTGGCTTTGTCTTTTAATAGTGAGTAGTCGATTTGGTGGAGCAATCACATCTGAGTTTCAGTTCATTAGTCTTTTTAAATCGTCCTATATCTTGATTTTTATTGCTTACTACTGCCCCCCCCCCTCTCTCTCTCTCTCTCCCTCCCCCCCTCTCTCTCTCTTTCTCTCTCTCTCTCTCTCTCTCTCCCTCCCCCCCTCTCTCTCTCTCTCTCTCTCTCTCTCTCTTTCTCTCTTACTCTCTCGGAGGTTAAAAAAGCACCTTTGATCTGTTTCAACCCATCCTGTACTTTGAATGACACTTTAAAAAAATTGAAGTCTGGTTCTTCTACTGTTTCCGTGCTGTATTTTCCGTAGCTTTCTTTGATGCTCAAAATGGTTCACATTGCTCGGCTTCTTAAAATCCCTGTTCTCGTTAGGGAACTCTGTTGTCTAATCAATGAGCTTTCAATGTCAAACAAGTTTTGGTTGTGATACAACACGGTAATATACTTGTAACTTATACTTGACTACGTCAATTAAAAAATTTTTTTTTATTTATTTAATTATTATTTTGTGTGTGCAAACGAGCAAGATCAAAAGTGTAGGACACACACATTACACATTCAAATTTGATAGTCGTGAAACAATACCAGTTCTGCATATAGGAAATACACATTTTAATTATGTGACAGAGAGGTTTTCCCGCAAAACGCATGCAGTTGACATCATAAATGATAATCTTTTGCCTAGAAATCGTGAATACTGCTCAACGCAGTTGCGCATAAATCAATGATCTAAAGAGGCGTTCACGGCGCGAACGGTCAGCCCCGCGAGTCATAAACCGACTGATGAGGTCGTGAATTCCACACAGGTGTGTGATTCACGGTTTCATCAGGCGACTTTTGAGGCACGGTGTTTATTCACGATTTTCTTATTACGTCAGATTACACGTTGGAGTTGAGATAATTGAAAAATAGTTTGACAGGGACATGTATCTCACAGAGCACTATCAACATATGCACCCAAAAAAAACAAAAAACGATTTTCGAAAATTTGTGGAATTCACGGTTTTATCAGGCGACCTACGATATGTTAATCCAATTTGGGTCCGAGTGTTATTGCGCTCTTTTCCCAATTTAAAAAGAGATGATGATTAATCCTCAAAGTCTGGAATTTCGCAACTACCTCGAATGCAAACAGATCAAAAGAGGAGTCAGACAAGGATGTGCACTTTCTCCCTGTATAGTGAAAATATCATGGGACACAAAGAAGAAATTCCAGGTTTCTCGATAGGTGGATATCAAATAAACAATCTAAGATATGCAGACGACAGGGTCCTAATAGCAGAAGATGAATCTATTAAATGTCACCGTACAAGAGAGTGACAACATGGGCATCAAGAAAACCGAAACAATGGTGATATCAAAATCAATGATACCACCTTCAAGCAAGTACAACATCTTAAATATTTGGGGACCATTGGGGACATCAGATGGCAGATTCCACACCGTAATTAAAAGCTGTATTTGCCAAGCAAAATGAAGTAAATACTAACAAACATCAATCTGTCACTGAAAACGAGAAAGAGAGTACTGACAAGTTACATCAGCCAATCCTATTATACGGATGCAAAGCATGGACAATCAATAAACAGCTGGAAAGAACAATTCCACAATTGTCAGAGTTGTGGTTCATGAGACGCATGCCTACGTATCCCATGGACAGTCTTGGTTGAAGCAAACTGTAGAAGACAGCTTATGACGAATATAAGAAAGCGACAGACAAATTTGTTCGGACACCCAATGCGGAAAAGAAGTATTGGAGAATATTGTAACAACTGGTAAGTTTGAAGGAAAGAGAGGCAGAGGCAGACAGAGGGACAAGATGACAACATGGTTAGGAGCAGCAAGAACAACAGACATGCTGCAATGCAAGACAGAGTGAAGTGGAGGTCCATGATCAGCAAGACACCGGATGCTTTACATAAAGCTTATTCGTCGTCGAAGGTGTGTTGAATCATGGTTCCCAAAATAGAATATTAAAACTGATTAGTTTCATGATTTACAGCATCACAATAAGTTCTTTTTCAATCGCTCCCCCAACAGGCAGGTCTCACATAGACTCACATTCTCGTTTCACCCGTGGAAGCCTGGCTTCGGTATGCCTTTCACCAACTGAACATTGCACACATCAGCAGCATCCCCACTGACCCTTTCCCGCCTGTTCAAATTGAGGCGTTGCGCTGGACAATTGTATCCTGTTTTTAAGGGAAAGGCCCCGGGGTCTTCTTCTGTGCAATATGACTTGTCTCACCTTGCTCCACGGAATCTTCTACTGCAAGATTTCTTACAGACGCTGCCATGGTCTTGAAGTCTATAGTCCTGTCCGCACATCTCCCTCACCTGGTATGGTTGTTTGGACGTTCTGACCGTTCTCACCGCAGTGAACCACTGGTCTGGGTGTCAATGTCTATGCGCCTAGTTTTTCCTTCGATCGCCAAATTGCAACTTCGGCTCTATTCACTGTAGGAATTTGATATTTTGACGCAATGTGTGCCACTATTTTGGTATCGATACTACACAAAAAAATACGTCTTCGTTTCATATGCCCCCTTGGACAGAGCTCCAGTTTCTTCTAAGAAACTGGAGCTCTGTCCAAGGGGGCATATGAGTATTTGCTGTAGATCAAAAGCACAGCTTGTTTTTGTTGGTCCAGTTTCACCACGTCTTTGATAGCCCTTGCAGTTTTTTAAAATTTGTTTTGCGGCTTTTCAAAGGTCGGCTGGTTTCCTTCTGTGATGTCCTCGTTGTTTCTTTGCGCGATACAAACTTCGCATTGGTCTTTCTTGGGCCTATGAAAGCCAAAGTTGAAGTCATAACAAACAAAAATTGGACTGTGCAAAATTGCGATAAGTGTATTTGTTTTTGGAATTTACAGACCAGAGAAAGCAAAATTCTCGGGGCAACACTGCGTCAAGCGCCCTTGTGGCAGTATTGGTCCAAGATATTTATGGAATACACCTTGTCGCCAAATTGCAACTTCGGCTCTATTCACTGTAGGAATTTGATATTTTGACGCAATGTGTGCCACTATTTTGGTATCGATACTACACAAAAAATTTCCTAGTTTTTGGTAACAATATTAAAAGACGCATCAGCGGATAATCTGCTGACGATTTTGAACGTGTTTATTTGGTAAACCAGTGGTCTAAGCTCGTCCAAAGCCCTATAACTTGGTTGATTCCTTTTATTTATTGCTTTCGAATTAGGATCGCTTTGCATGGCGTTTGCTTATTAGGCCCATTGTTTCGCTCCCGCAGTTTCTATCCAAAATGGCGAGCTCCAGCGACGTGGTCTTTGTGCGGACTGAAGAAGCTTTGGAGTTGTTTATGGATGATGGCAGTGATAATGGGTTAGGTTTATAGTAAGAAGAAGAAAGTTCAGGTTATAGTGATGATGAATCTGTACCATTGGTTGGTAGACCTACCTGACCCCAAGTCTCATCTTGTCAAACAAAACTTCTTTTGAGGGCAACTATAGTGATCTTGCAGCATTGATTGATCAACGTAAGACTGGATTTGTGAAACTATGATTTTAATATTGAGAAATTGTACTTTTTAGTGGTGTAAGTGTGATTTTTGTACTGTTAATAGGGTAAAAAATGGTAACTTGGCAAAAAAGGGCAAAGAAGGTGTATCGAGAAAGGGCAAGTGGGTGTGTCTTCAAAAAATTAAACAAACTCACGAGTTTTCAAATAGTGAATGCTAGCAGGTGCTTTAATCACCCCGGTTTACCGTAATAAAAAAAAATGTTCATGGTCTGTAATTCCTGCTTTGCGTTCATGAACTTGTTCACATAATCCTCAAAATCTTATTCAAAATTTACAAATGACAAAAATGCTTCCTACGACAACACAAAAGAAAACTTTGAGAAGTCAGTTTATTGAATAATCAAATCAAACTGCTTGACAATTTACACCCCCCCCCCCCACAGAAAAAGCAAAAAAATAATCCA